CCTTGTGATCCACCCGCCTCGGCCTCCCAAAGTGCTGGGATTACAGGCGTGAGCCACCGCGCCCGGCCCTTGGAGTTACACTCTTGTTGCCCAGGCTGGAGTGCAATGGTAAGATTTAGGCTCACTGCAACCTCTGCCTCTCAGGTTCAAGCGGTTCTCCTGCCTCAGCCTCCTGAGTAGCTGGGATTACAAGCATACACCATCATGCCCGGCTAATTTTGTATTTTTACTAGAGACTGGGTTTCTCCATGTCTGTCAGGCTGGTCTCGAACTCCTGACCTCAGGTGATCTGCCTGCCTCAGCCTCCCAAATGTTGGGATTATAGATGTGAGCCAAAAAAAAATTTTTTTTATTAGCCAGATGTGGTGGTACCAGGTGTGGTAGTATCCTCTGACTCAGGAGACTGAGGTAGGAGGATCACTTGAGCCCAGGAGGTCAAGGCTGCAGTGAGCTGTGATCAGGCCGCTGCACTCTAACCTAAGCAACAAAGTGAGACTCTGTCTCAAAAAGAAATATAAATAAAATAATACAAAAGTAAGGCCAGGAACATGGTGGCTCACACCTGTAATCTGTAATCCCAGCACTTTAGGAAGCCAAGGCTAGAGGATTGCTTCAGCCTGGGAGTTCGAGACCAGCCTGGGCAACATGGCAAAACCCCTCTACTAAAAATACAAAAATTAACCAGGCATGGTTTCCTGTAATCCCAGCTACTTGGGGGCCTGAGGTGGGGAATCACCCGAGCCCTGGAGGTCGAGGCTGCAGTGATCACACCACTACACTATAGCCTGAATGACAGAGGGAGACCCTGTCTCACAAATAAATAAATAAATAAAAAGATAAAGAGAAACAAGGATATTACAGCTATTAAGGTAATAAAACTATTACCCTAATAGTTCTATTGAGGTCAACATATTCTCATTTCAACATATAATCAGTGTAAAAAGTAAGGCCCTTTACGTTTTTTTCCCCTTTGCACCAGTTTTCAGAATCTAATGTGTGTGGTGAGGCATAGTGGCTCACACCTGTAATCTCAGCACTTGGGGAGGTCAAGACAGGGGGATCACTTGAGGCCAGGAGTTTGAGACCAGCCTGGCCAACATGACAAAAAACACTAAAAATGCAGAAGTTAGGTGAGCATGGTAGCAAGCACCTGTAGTTCCAACTACTCGGGAGGCTGAGGCAGGAGAATTGCTGGAACCCAGAAGGCAGCGGTTGCTGGAACTGAAATCGCACCTGTGTACACCAGTCTGGGCAGCAAAGCGAGACTCTATCTAAAACATAAAAAGGATCTAGTGTGTGTTTTATCACAACACTTCTTGGTTTGGGCCAGACATGTTTGCAGTGCTCAGTAGCTGCATGTGGCCAGCAAACCCATACTGGATGGTGCAGCCCTAGAAGATTCTCCTCCAAGAAAGGGGGGTTTTTCCTCCCCATGGGAGCCAGGTCCATTGGTCTGGATGCCTCCAAGCTGCAGAATGTGTTCTCTGCCTGAGCCAAAGCCTTTGTGCCCTGTGCCTCCCCCTCTGCCAGCCAGCGCAGCCCTGTGGGGTCCCTCCTTCCCTGGACAGTCTGTCAGGTGTGGACAGGAGTGGAGTAAGTCCCCCTGGAATTTTCTCCAAGTCAACCCTTGGGTCCTGGCTTCTCGCCCTGGACACGGAGGAAGATTCCCAGTGACTGAGTAATCACAGAGATGATGAGGATGGGCCAGGCGCGGTGGCCCAGCCCTGGAACTCCAGCACTCTGGGAGGCTGAGGCAGGTGGATCACTTGAGGTCGGGAGTTCGAGACCAGCCTGGCCAACATGGTGAAACCCCATCTTACTAAAAATAACAGATTAGTTGGACATGGTAGCTCATTCCTGTAATCCCAGCTACTCGGGAGGCTGAGGCAGGAGAATTGTTTGAACCCAGGACTCAGAGGTTACAGTGAGACTCCATCTCAAAAAAAAAAAAAAAAAAAAGATGGGGATGATGATTGTGCTGATAAGCAGATAAGCAGCAGACCCTGGGCCAAGAGAAAGTGACATCACTCACCAGCGTCCCTTAGTTTGTAGGGCTCAGAGCCAAGATTGCCCCCAGAGCCCCTGCTGTTGGCCAACTCCCTTTCCCCTTTCTCTGTCTTTTTCTGGTCCCAGGGGCAGGATGGAGAGTTGAGGGAAGGCAGACTGAGTTTTCCTTTCCAGTAGAAGGAACAGCTGAAAAGTCCCTGGGCGCGGTGGCTCACACCTGTAATCCCAGCACTTTGGGAGGCTGAGGTGGATGGATCACAAGGTCAAGAGATCGAGACCAGCCTGGCCAACATGGTTACATCCCATCTCTATTAAAAATACAAAATTAGGCGGGTGTGGTGGTGCATGCCTGTAGCCCTAACTACCCAGGAGACTGAGGCAGGAGAATAGCTGGAACCTGGGAGAGGGAGGTTGCAGTGAACTGAGATCACGTCACAGCACTCCAGTTTGGGCGACAGAGCAAGACTCTGCCTCAGAAAAGGGAAAATACTTCTTTTTGGGCTGGGTGTGTGGCTCACGCCTGTAATCCCAGCACTTTTGGAGGCCAGGGCGGGCGGATCACACGCCACTGCACTCCAGCCTGGGCGACAGAGCAAGATTCCAAAAAAAGAAGAGTCCCCAGGCCACAGCAGAGGTTGGGGATGGAGCATGGGCATGCACAAGCCCCTTCCTCTCTGGCAGCATTCGGACAACGTGGCAGGGAGCCTGTGGCCAACTTGGCCTCTGCGAGAGGAAGTGAGGCCAACTCCTGGCTGGGGATTCACAGCCCCAAAGTGTTTCTCATGTTGGTTTCTCGTGTTGGTGGCTTCAGGCCTTCTCTGGAACTGTTTGCTGCCTGTTTATAGTCACGTATTCAGTTGGTCATCGCTGGGCCTGTGCAGGCGCTCCATGTGTGTTAAAACAGGCCCTGTACCTACCCACATCCCAGCACAGGGTTTGCAGGCCAGTTGCAGGGACAGACAGTAGGCAGGTAAACCACCTGGTAGGTGGTTTTGGAGAGTGGTGAAATGTTGTGAAGTAAACAAAGTTGGCAGGAGAATGACTGCATAGCCTCAGTCAGTGGGGCGGCCAGGGAAGCCCTGTGGAAGAAGGACATTCTACCAGGGACTTGAACGCCACGGAGAAGACAGGCCACAAAATTGTGTAGGGGCATGCGTTCCTGGGAGACGGGGCAGCACGCCCGAAGGCCCTGGGTCGGCATATTTGAGGAGAAGTGGAAGGTGGTGAGGGTTCAAAGGTCACCGGGGCTATGGTGAGTGTCGGGTTCCAAAGCTGCAGGATGCCAGGATCAGTCACTTGTTTTTATTTATGTATTTGTTTTTACTTTTTATTTTATTTATTTGTTTTTTTGAGAGGGAGTTACTCTTGTCACCCAGGCTGGAGTGCAACAGCATCATCTCAGCTCACTGCCATCTCCGCCTCCTGGGTTCAAGTGATTCTCCTTCCTCAGCCTCCCGAGTAGCTGGGATTACAGGCGCCCGCCACCATGCCTGGCTGATTTTTGTATTTTTAGTAGAGACAGGGTTTCACCATGTTGGCCAGGCTGGTCTGGAACTCCTGATCTCAAGTGATCCGCCTGCCTCAGCCTCCTAAAGTGCTAGGATTACAGTGCCCTGCTGAGCTCCGGTTTCTGCCTGAGGCATTTGGTGATGGTGGCGTCCCCATGACGATGGGGAACTGGGATTGGTTGAGGTTTGGGGAGGCTGTTCTGGTGTTCCAGGTCACGTTGCTCTCTGCAGGTAAGTGCAAGGTGGATGCCAGGAGACCATGAGCCACTACTGGTGGCCAGGGGTCCAGGCTCCGGAGGCTGCAGATGGCAGCAGATCTCATGTCCCCTCCTTTCCCCACCTGTTACCCACAGTGATCAACAAATACAAGCGCAGGCGATTTCAGAAAACCAAGAACCTGCTGACGGGAGAGACAGAAGCAGACCCAGAAATGATCAAGGTAAATGGGCAGGGTTGGCAGGGCCTATAGGGACCAGCCAGGCCGTTCACAGCTCGGACCAGACCATTGGGGCTGTCATCTGTCACCACTGAGCCACTGTGCAGGCTCGGTGACGCCGCCTCCCCTCCCTGAGCACTGGGCTCCTCCACTGGTAAGTGGGGTTAGGAGGCGGCTGCATCTCGGAGAGTAGGGAGGATCCCAGACAAGGTTACCTGGGCCTACCCCATCTCTCCCTAAAAAGAGAGAGAGAAAAGAAAGAAAGAAAAGAGACTGCCCGTGCTGGCTCACTCCTGTAATCCCAGCACTTTGGGAGGCCAAGGTGGGAGGATCGTGCTGGAGTCCAGGAATTTGAGACCAGCTTGGGCAACATAGCAAGACCTCATTTTCACAGTCCCATTTTCCCATGAGGATACTTGCTCAGTCTGACAGCCAGGAAGTGGCAGGGCCAGGACTCTCACCCACACAGCCAGGCCCCAGAGTCCAAGCTCAGCCTGGCACCAGGCAGGCACACGAGAATATGGCTTTAGTAGGAACTGTAGGATTAATAGTTGCTGTCACTCCTGGTGGGCTGCGGAGCCGGACTATTAATCTGTGGTTCACCTGCAGTGGGCACTAAGAGCCTTCCTGTCTCCGCGGGTGGTCCTGCATGGGAGGGGTGGTCCTTGCCTCTGCTTCTGCAGGCATTGGTTTTCTGCACTGTGGGGTGGGAGGATCCTGTTGGTGGCCGGAAGAGTCATGGGGGCAGAATCTCTAAGCCCCGGGAGAAGATCCTTCTGCTAGCAGTTGCTGTGGTGTCTGATATTCTGCTGCCAAGGGTGTCAGGGGAGGTGTCTCATGCCTATAATCCCAGCATTTTGGGAGGCTGAAGCAGAAGGATTACTTGTGCCCAGAAGTTCAAGACTAGTCCAGGCAGCACAGTGGGACCCCATCTCTCCCTAAAAAGAGAGAGAGAGAAAAGAAAGGAGGAAAGGAAAGAAAAAGGCTGCCCATGGTAGCTCACTCCTGTAATCCCAGCACTTTGGGAGGCCGAGGTGGGAGGATCGTGCTTGAGCTCAGGAATTCGCGACCAGCTTGGACAACATAGCGAGACCCCATCTCAAATAAATAAATAAATAAATAAATAAAAAGCAAAGATAAAGATTGTAATGGGAACCCTTGGGAGGAAGTGAGCAGAGGCTGACGGTCCCTGCCTCTGAGGCCCTTCCCTCCATGTCACCTCAGAGGGCTGAGGACTATGGGCCCGTGGAGGTGATTTCCCATTGGCACCCCAACATCACCATCAACATTGTGGACGACCACACGCCGTGGGTGAAGGGCAGCGTGCCCCCTCCCCTGGATCAGTGTAAGTTCCCAGCCCTGCCGGCTGCTTGCAGAGGCCTCTGGGAGGGTGTTTGGGGCCCATCTCCTTACCTTCTCCTGGCCCCATCCCTCTCAGAGGAGGGCTCCACCCTCCTAAGCTCCCCACCCTGTCCTGTCCCCTTCTCATGCCCTCTCCCTGTCCCACAGCCCCACCCCTGGACTGACCGCCACACACCAGCATCAGTCCACACACAAGTCCCATCCAGCCCACAGACTGTTTTCAGAAAATGTTTATCACTTGCCAACTTTGAAAATGGAGGCAGTATCACTTAAAAGCCACAATTTGGCCGGGCGCGGTGGCTCACGCCTGTAATCCCAGCACTTTGGGAGGCCGAGGCAGGTGGATCACGAGGTCAAGAGATCGAGACCATCCTAGTCAACATAGTGAAACCCCGTCTCTACTAAAAATACAAAAAATCAGCTGGGCATGGTGGCGCATGCCTGTAATCCCAGCTACTCAGGAGGCTGAGGCAGGAGAATTGCCTGAACCCAGGAGGCAGAGGTTGCGGTGGGCCGAGATCGCGCCATTGCACTCCAGCCTGGGCAACGAGAGCGAAACTCCGTCTCAAAAAAAAAAAAAAGCCACAATTTTTGGCTTCTTTTATAAAACGGGGTTACCTGGTCACCCATGGGGCAGCCATGGGCTGGAGCTGAGCCACCACTGCCCCCTTCAGTGGAGAGCTGCCTGCCCTTTGCATGTGGTCCCCTTTGCTGAGGTCAGGGGGCCCTTTAGCTCCTCATAGTGTGGCCTAGAAATGTCCCCTATCCTCCATTCTCTGTAGAGGGGCCCTGTTGGGTCCCTCCAGACATATGAGGCCCGTGGGTACCCTGGCCTCCTGCCCGGGCCAAACGGTGTCCCCCTGCCCTATGTGCTGCAGATGTGAAGTTTGACGCTGTGAGTGGTGACTATTACCCCATCATCTACTTCAATGACTACTGGAACCTGCAGAAGGACTACTACCCCATCAACGAGAGCCTGGCCAGCCTGCCGCTCCGTGTCTCCTTCTGCCCGCTCTCGCTCTGGCGCTGGCAGCTCTATGCCGCCCAGAGCACCAAGTCGCCCTGGAACTTCCTGGGTGATGAGTTGTATGAGCAGTCAGATGAGGAGCAGGATTCGGTGAAGGTGAGTGTGGGCGGGGCTTCCCGGCACCTTCCTGGGCGCATCAGGCCAAGGGGAAGTGCGCCCGGCCTGGGCTGTGGGATCTCCCGCCTGGCGCTCCTCTGCCCACAGTTTCACAACCTCCCAGGTCCCTTCTCTGCAGCGAAAGGAAGTGGGCCTCCAGTCCTCTGGCTCTAGATGACTGGGGGTCCTCTCCCCAGGCTGTTCTGATGGCTTGGCCAGGCCCTTTGGGTCCAGACCCGTCCCTGCGTCCTTCTGTCTCAGACCCCGTCTTCCTGGCATGGGCTCCGACTCTGTGTGTCTGCCCTCTCACTGGGTCCTGAAATGCTGGCCTGTGTCTGTGGCATGAGGCTCAGCTTTGCCTCCTGGACTGTCATCACTGTTGGGTCTCTGCTGCTCACTCCCAGTGTCCCTTCATCCTCTCCCTGCAGCGCCCCCTCAGTCTCTGCCTCTTCCCCTAGTGCCATCTCCCTGTCTCTTCTGTCTCTGTGAGTCACCCTCCTCTCTGTCCCCATCTGCCCATCTCTGACCCAGTCTCCTCCCAGCTGGCCCACCCTCACCTTACCCTCTCCAGGCAGCCCCAGGGCAGGTCTCGGGACAAGAAGGGAGCCAGCTAGTGAGGGGGCTCTTGGGCAAGGGCGGGCTGTGCTCACAGGTGTCCCCTGCAGGTGGCCCTGCTGGAGACCAACCCCTACCTGCTGGCGCTTACCATCATCGTGTCTATCGTTCACAGTGTCTTCGAGTTCCTGGCCTTCAAGAATGGTAGGAACGGGACCAGGGCCAGTGAGGGGCTATGGAGGGCAGGGGACAGGGCTTGCCCCCTTCCTCTTCCCCTCCCTACCCACATGTCTTCCCGCTGCCTGGGGTCTCTCAGTCCCACTCTCCAGAGGCCTAGTAAGCTGGGGAGGGGCAGTGGCCCCAAAACTCCCAGCCCAAAAATTCCCATCTACCGGGTGTGGAGCTGAGGGAGGGGCTGGCCTGCCTCTGGGGCAGAGGACAGGCTGATACTGCCAGGAAGCGGGCTGGGGAACTCCAGAGCCAGGAGCAGGGAAGCCCCGGAGCTGCTCCGCCACCCTGCCCGGCAGGCTGCCTGCCTCAGGAGGCAGCTCAGGACTGAGTAGACAGGGCCTGCCCGAGTGGGAAGGAGGAACACTGTTTTCCAAAGGTCCCTAGGTCCTAAGGCTGACAATGCTGATGGCAGCATTTGAGGAGAAGCGGCCACATGCCAGGCACTGCCCTGCGTGACCTTGAGCTAGCTCCCTGAGCCCTACAGGAGCCAGAGGCTCAGGGATGTTACTCGCCCAGTTACGTGGTTCTGAAGGGGCAGATGGTTCCAGCCCCAACTCTTATCTTCTAGGCCCTGCAGGCCACTTCTTCCTTCCCGCGAGCACCCCAGTCTGAAGGGGGTGGCTTTCTGTCTGCAGCTCCTGGAGGTGGCGGGAGGAACGAGTAGTCGTATTCCTGGTACTGTAATGCTATTGTTGGCGTGGCGGTGGCTCTCGCCCGTGATCCCAGCACTTTGGTGGGAGGATCACCTAAGCCCAGGATTTGGAGATGATCACCCTGGGCAACAAAGTGAGATTCTGTTTCTACACAAATTTCTTTTTAATAATTACCTGGGCATGGTGGTGTGTGCCCGTGGTCTCAGCTACCGGGGCGGCTTGGGCCTGAAAGGTCAAGGCTGCAGTGAGCCATGATCACGCCAGTGAACTCCAGCCCAGGCAACAGAGTGAAACCCTATTCCAAAAAAAAGGATGCTCTTTTCCTTTTTTTTTTTTTTTTTTTTTTTTTTTTGAGACAGCGTCTCGCTCCACTGCCAGGCGCCAGGCTGGAGTGCAGTGGCACAATCTTGGCTCACTGCAACCTCCATCTCCTGGGTTCAAGCAGTTCTCCTGCCTCAGCCTCCTGAGTAGCTGAGACCACAGGCGCATGCCACCTACACCCAGCTAATTTTTGTATTTTTAGTAGAGACGGGGTGTCACCATGTTGGCCATGATGGTCTTGATCTCTTGACCTCATGATCCACCCACCTTGGCCTCCCAAAGTGCTGGGATTACAGGTGGAATACACCGTGCCCGGCTGCTCTTAGCTATTATTGAGAGCTGTCATCTGGAAGAATGCAGTGTCATATGGGTACAGGAGCCAGTGCTTACCCCAGCCAGCCATCTACCAGCTGTCCTGGGAGACAGGACCCTTCTGCCTAGGATCTGGCTTGCCTGGGCTCCAGTAAGAAACGAGGCACGAGAAAGCTGGTTCCTCACCTAATGTCACGCAGCAGGGGGCGCAGCCGTCACTTGGCACAAGTGCTGTGTGGCCTCCCTGGTCTAAGGAGGGGCTTAGGCCCACCCGTCCCCACCAGAACCTGGTCTCCCAACCCATTCTCAGTTGGGACAGGGGTCAGTCTGAGGGGTGGGGAGAGTGGAGTGAGCCTTTGGAGTGTTTCAGAGCTCTGGAATGTGGGGGAGCTCAGGGATGGGGCGGGGTACAGATGGGCCAGAATTCACAGCCCTCACTCCCTGAGTGCAGAGCTGGCTTTGACCCTGCAGGCCTGCAGACCGGGCTCTACCACTGTGCCACAGACGTGGTGGCTCAGCACACATGCTTCCATCTGGAGTCCTGTGGCTGCAGTGAGACGCTCAGCCAGGCAGGGTCAGAGAGGGGTGTCCATGGTGAGACCGGGGCTTAGAGCTAGGAGCTCACTGATATGGATCCCTGGCAGCATCCAGGCGGAGCACTGGAAGGAGCTCCAAACTGGAGCCCTTGTTTGTTTCCTGAGCCAGTTCCTTCACGGTGTCAGGGTGGGGGCCTGGAGGAGGTGGTCTCGAAGCGCATGCACAGGTCTCCTGCCCAGGGGAGGCAGGCTGGCACCACAGTATAGCACAGACCCAGCATCCCTCCAGATTCTGCCATGCCAGGCCACCAGCCGTTAGCACCTGGCACGTGGTGAGCCCCATCCATGGCAGCAGTCGCTGTCACCATCAGTCAGGGGACTGCACCCTGGGGTGCTGGGTGCTGACGTCCTATGGGAGGACTCCAGGGTGCTGCCTATCTAGTGCCCTGGGGCCACCTGATGAATGAGAGCACCTCCCTGGGAGAGAAGAGTCTTGCTCAGCACCCATCCTGAGGACCCAGCCCCGCCCCGGAGTGTGAGGAGGCTGCAGGCCAAGGGGGCCTGAGGGAGCTGAAGGAGGGTCTTGGCAGCTCCTCAGCCTCCCGTTTCCCCCACCCCCTGCACACAGATATCCAGTTTTGGAACAGCCGGCAGTCCCTGGAGGGCCTGTCCGTGCGCTCCGTCTTCTTCGGCGTTTTCCAGTCATTTGTGGTCCTCCTGTACATCCTGGACAACGAGACCAACTTCGTGGTCCAGGTTAGCGTTTTCATCGGGGTCCTCATCGACCTCTGGAAGATCACCAAGGTCATGGACGTCCGGGTAAGACTGGGGCGCCGTGCTGTCTCTGGGGCTGGGTCTGCAGGGGTTGGGAGGGGGTAGTGTGGCCCAGCCAGACCCTGGAGCTGGCCCCTGGGGGATTCCCAGCGCGTGCCTCACTCCCAGGACTGAGGGGATTTTCTCACCAGGGGATTTCTTGGGTCACAGATGGGGCAGGGGAACTGGGAACGGTGGGGAAGGGCAGGGGCTGGTTCTGGCTTGTGGGACGGGAGACAGCCTGGCAACTGACCATGGCCACCCCCCGTCCACAGCTGGACCGGGAGCACAGGGTGGCAGGTATCTTCCCCCGCCTGTCATTCAAGGACAAGTCCACGTATATCGAGTCCTCGACCAAAGTGTATGATGATGTGAGTGTCCGCACAGTGGGCCCCTGGGGGTTGCCTCCAAGTACCCACATGCGCCCGTGGGACCAGGGGCCGGCCATCTCCCTGCTGGGCCCACACTTTGTGGCCTGTGTCCCATCGTCTGTGTCACCCACCTGCCATAACTGCTTCCTGGTGGAGTTCAGAGTCCCAGGGCTACCTGGAAATTCCCCCTGCCCAGCCTGCCAGACCAGGTGTGATGGGCGAGGGCGGGGAGCAGGGCTGCCGGGCGGGGCCGAGGGGCTGGCTAAGAGCCCCACCCTGTGGCCCCACAGATGGCGTTCCGGTACCTGTCCTGGATCCTCTTCCCACTCCTGGGCTGCTACGCCGTCTACAGCCTTCTGTACCTGGAGCACAAGGGCTGGTACTCCTGGGTGCTCAGCATGCTCTACGGCTTCCTGCTGACCTTCGGTGAGCGGCACGGCCGCCCCAGGAGAGAGCAGGCCTCCTGCTGGCCGGGGCTCACAGCGCAGTGTGGGAGACAGACCCATCCCCAGACAGGGACAACCCAGAGTGGGGAGAGCTGGGAGGTGGGGAGCCCAGAGGGCACACATGGTTCCATCCGGGGTCAGAGGGCTTTGGGGAGGACATGAACAGTATGCTTCAGTCCCATCCTCGGGGGAGCTTGCGTCTTGGGAACAGGACGAGTAACCAAGTGGAGCTGGGCGCAGTGGCTCACACCTGTTATCCTGACGCTGTGGGAGGCCAAGGCAGGAGGGTCACCTGAGCCCAGGAATTCCAGACCAGCCTGAGCAAAGTGGCAAGGCCCAATTTCTACAAAAAACACAGACATTAGTGGGGAATGGTGGTGTGGGCCTGTAGTCCCAGCTACCTGGGAGGCTGAGGTGGGAGGATCCCTTCAGCCCAGGAGGCTGAAGTCGAAGTAGCCATGATTACACCACTGCACCTCAGCCTGGGCAACAGAGTGAGACCCTGTCTCAAGAAACAAAATCGGATGAATCACAGCCAGTAATGAGTGCTGTGAAGGGCAGAGTGGTGGGGGGGATGCACATTAATAGGGGGTTCCTCTGAGGAGAGGACATTTAAACCGAGGCCTCACATATCCAGGGAGGGGCTGTGTGCATGTGACCAAGGACTCCACCAGCTCAGAGGCCGCCGGCAGAATGTGCCCGGGTGTAGGGAGTGGTGAGGGGCTGGTATGGCCGGTACAGAGCATGCAGGGGAGCGGCGGGGGAGGCCGTCTCTCCGCTCACGGTGCCCCTCGCTGTAGGCTTCATCACCATGACGCCGCAGCTCTTCATCAACTACAAGCTCAAGTCCGTGGCCCACCTGCCGTGGCGCATGCTCACCTACAAGGCCCTCAACACCTTCATCGATGACCTGTTCGCCTTTGTCATCAAGATGCCTGTTATGTACCGGATTGGCTGCCTGAGGGATGGTGAGGCCCAGCGGGCAGGTGGGGGCCCCAAGGCAGGCTTCAGGGCCCAAGTCTGAGGGGTGCCACGGCCCCCCATGCCCCATGGGGTGCTTAGTCTCAGGGGGCTCTGCCCTGCCCTTGCATCACGCCCTCTCCGCCCAGGCCCACCTGGCTGTGGACCAGCCGGTCCTGACCTCACTGCCTCCCACCCCCCCCCAGATGTGGTTTTCTTCATCTACCTCTACCAACGGTGGATCTACCGCGTCGACCCCACTCGGGTCAACGAGTTTGGCATGAGTGGAGAGGACCCCACAGCCGCCACCCCTGTGGCCGAGGTTCCCACAGCAGCAGGGGCCCTCACGCCCACACCTGCACCCACCACGACCACCACCACCAGGGAGGAGGCCTCCACGTCCCTGCCCACCAGGCCCACCCAGGGGGCCAGCTCTGCCAGCGAGCCCCAGGAAGCCCCTCCAAAGCCAGCAGAGGACAAGAAAAAGGATTAGTCGCAACTGGTCCTTGCCTGCTCCGGCTCCTGGTGACCACCACCCCTGTGCCCCGGCCCCCTTACCCCCCCTCCCTGTCGCCCTTTCCCTGGACAGATCAGGCCAGGGTGGCGGGAGGCCCGCCTCGGGCCAGGGCCCAGCCTGTGACGTAGGGGCCGGGGCAGGCCAGGGCTTGTTTGTGGAGGCGCCGTCTGTCCCTCTGTCCCTGTGTGTTTCCAGCCATCTCGCCCTGCCAGCCCAGCACCACTGGGAATCATGGTGAAGCTGACGTGGTGCTGCCGAGGGGGTGGGCGGGGGTGGGGCTGGGGCCGGGCCCCCCTACGGGATGCCCACGGCCGTCCATCATCTTGTCCCTTATCCCTCAACCACATCCCCCCGACCGCCGCCCTTTAACACAGTCTGGATTTAATAAATTCATATGGGTGTTTAACTTAAACTCAGCACTGCCCCTCCTCCTCGAGCTTTCCTTCCTCTGCCGCCTTGGAGAGCAGCTTCAAGCAGGGATGAAGTGACTCTCCTGGGTCCGGGAAGGAGACCTGCAGGGTATGGGGTGTGGAAAGGTGGGGATGGTAACCCTGTGTCAAGAGCCACACCTGGCGAGGCGGGTGGATTACTTGAGGTCAGGAGTTTGGGACCAGCCTGGCCAACATAGTGAAACCTCGTCTCTACTAAAAATATAAAAACTGGGTGTGGTGGTGGGTGCCTATAATCACAGTTACTCGAGAGGCTGAGGCAGGAGAATCATTTGAACCTGGGAGGCGGAGGTTGCAGTGAGCCGAGATTGCACCGCTGCACTTCAGCCTGGGCAATGGAGCAAAACTCCATCTCAAAAAAATAAAGACCCATACTTGCCGAGCCAGGCCTCTTCCTCACTTCTTGCCCTCCCACCAGCCCTCTGAGATTTCCTTAACTGGCCCCATTTCCGATTCCTGGGGAAGCTGCTTGCAGGGAGCTCGCTGCCCCGTACCTTTTCCTGCCAGCTGCCTCTTCTGGGCTCAGGTGGGAGCCTCCCGTGTGCCCGCTGAATGTCTCCTCACCTGGCATCGCCAGGCAGGGCCAAGCACAGCTCTCAGCCGGGTGGACCATGAGCAGAGGCACCCACCACCGTGAGGCCTCAGCGCAGCCCTCGGAGCACTCTAGTGTGTGCCCTCGCTTTTTTCTGCTGACACCCACTTACCCCCAAGGTTAGGAGGCATGGGGTGAAGCCTTAGCTGGCCTGAGTGACACCTAGCTGTAGCACTCTGTGGGCATTGGGTATCAATCCACATCCCCAGGGCTGCCTGTGACAAGGACTATCCAAGCTCTCCAGAGGTGGCACGAGTTGGCCTTGCCAGCCCAGCCTCTGGTACTGGGACCCTTCACTCACTGGATAGGGGAGTTGAGCGAGGCCTCTGTGCTCCGAGGGGTGGAGACCCTACATTCCCAGGTGTACTTTTTTGGGAGTGGACTCAGCGCTGAGGACCACACCAGGTTCCTTCAGGCTCCAGCTGCCACCCCACATTGCAGAGCCAGGCGGGGCCTCCGTGAGATCCCAGGGAGACAGCGCTCTTGGAGCCCCACACAGGCCCACAAACACCGCAGCAGTCTCCCATCCCTCAGGGCAGCCGTGGGCTGCCGTTACCCGCCCCCCAACTCTATGCCACTCCGTGGCTCCCCAGTGCCCTTCGAACCCCAGGCTCTGTACCATGGCCTGATAGGCTCCTAGGAACCCTGAAGGTGCAGGGCTCAGCAGACCCTCGAGAGTGGGGGGGCTCTCTGGCTGCCTGCACTCCCTGGCCTCGTCACCCATTTATTCCTCCTCTCATAGCTCCACACCCCAGCCTTTGATGGCCCATCAGCTACCCCCACAACTCCTTGAGGGTCCCACCTCTTCACTGGGACCACCTGCTCCAGGCCCCTCTTTACCCTCTGGGGTTCTTGCCTGGTGTCCTCTCTGGTCCTCTGCCCCAATCCTGCCCTCCCTGCATCCCATTCACACTCTAGCAGCTGGAGGAAACTTTTGTTTTCTTTGAGACGGAGTTTCGCTCTGTGCCCAGGCTGGAGTGCGGTGGTACAACCTCAGTTCACTGAAACCTCTGCCTCCTGGGTTCAAGCGATTCTCCTGCCTCAGCCTCCTCAGTAGCTGGGATTACAGGTGTGCATCACCACGCCTGGCTAATGTTCTTTGTATTTTTAGTAGAGACGGGGCTTCACCATTTTGGCCAAGCTGGTCTCGAACTCCTGACCTCAAGCAGTCCGCCCACCTTAGCCTCCCAAAGTGCTGGGATTACCGACATGAGCCACTGTGCCTGGCCCAGCTAGAAGAAACTTTCTAGTTTCTTCTAAAGCGCAAACCTGACCTTGCCCAGCTCTTGCTCAGAACCTACTGTGGCTGCCCAGTGACCTCAGGAGAAAGCCCAGGCTCCTTATTGAGGAGTGAGATCTTGATGGGAGAGACACTTCTTAACCCCTGCAGCCAGCCTGGTCTTCCTCCTACCAGCCCCCAGGCACACAAACCCTGTCCACTTTTTTTTTTCTTTGAGACAAAGTCTTGCATTGTCACCCAGGCTGGAGTGCGGTGGCACAATCAGCTCTGCAGCCTTGACCTCCTGGCCTCAAGTGATCCCCCCTGCTGCAGCCTCCAAACCAGCTAGAACCACAGTCAAGTGCCACGACACCTGGGTAATTTTTAATTTTTTGTAGAGATGGGGTTTCTTGATGTTGCCAAAGCTGATTTCAAACTCCTGGCCTCAAGCAGTCCTCCCATCTGGGCCTCTCAAAGTGCTGGTGTTACGGGCCTAAGCCACCACGGCTGGGTCATCCCCTCTTTCCCTTATCCCATGTGTCCTCCAGGTTGTGGCTCCAATGCCCCCTCCTCTAGGAAGCCCTCCCTGGCTGCCAAGTCCTCTGGGGTCTCACGGCAGCCCTGCCCACTGTGAGTCATCACTGGGGACAGGTTGATCTCTTCTACTTGATAGAGCCCCATGAGGACACAGCCAAACCTGTCTTGATCACTGCTGTGTCCCCAGCATAGGGACAAGCACAGAGAAGCCACTCCAGGAATGTTTAATGAGTGCATGTTGAACAATCCAATACTCACTTTCCCAGACACATGGACACATCCAGAAGTGTGGACCTTGGTGGGGCCCACATTCAGACACTGAAGACTGTGACAAGCAGTCAACAAATGTAACAAACGTTCCCTGAGCCCTGCCCTGGGTGGGGCTGAGTGCTGGGGCGTTTTTTGTATACATAGCCAGGACGAAGACAAACCCAGACCTGCCCTCATGGGGGGGCTCAGAGCCCAGCGGAAATCCTGAGTGCTGAGGATGTCTGACATGTCCTTTTTATTTTTTATTTTATTTATTTATTTTTGAGATGGAGTCTCACTCTGTCACCCAGACTGGAGTGCATGGCACGATCTCAGCTCACTGCAACCTCCACCTCCCGGGTTCAAGCAATTCTCCTGCCTCAGCCTTCTGAGTATCTGGGATTACAGGCACGTGCCACCATGCCCGGCTATTTTGTATTTTTAGTAGAGTCAGGGTTTCACCATATTGGTCAAGCTGGTCTCAAACTCTTGACCTCAGGTGATCTACCCCTCTTGGCCTCCCACAGTGTTGGGATTACAGGTGTCAGCCCCTGTGCCTGACCATCCTTTTTACTTGTTTTTTTTTTTTTTTTTTTTTTTTTAGGCAGAGTCTCTGTCACCCAAGCTGGAGTGAGTGCAGTGGCACGATCTCAACTCACTGCAACCTCCACCTCCCAGGTTCAAGTGATTCTTCTGCCTCAGCCTCCCAAGTAGCTGGGATTATAGGTGCCCGCCACCACACCTGGCTAATTTTTGTATTTTTAGTAGACACGGGGTTTTGCCATGTTGGCCAGGCTAGTCTTGAACTCCCAACCTCAGGTGATCTGCCTGCCTCAGCCTCCCAGAGTGCTGGGATTACAGACATGAGCCACGGCTCCCAGCCCTGACATGTCCTTTTAGTTAGTCACTACAGACCTTTTTTTTTTTAAACAGAATCTTGGCTGGGTGTGGTGGCTCATGCCTGTAATCCAAGCACTTTGGAGCCCAAGGCAGGCGGATCACCTGAGGTTGAGAGTTCAAGACCAGCCTGACCAACATGGTGAAACCCCATCTTTAAAAAAATTTAAAAATTAAAATAAAATAAAATAAAAAACAGAATCTCACTCTGTCACCCAGGCTGGAGTGCAGTGATACAATCTCAGCTCACTGCGGCCTTTGCTTACTGGGTTCAAGCGATTGTCCTGCCTCAGCCTCCTTAGTAGATGGGACTACAGGCGCACGCTACCATGCTTGGCTAGTTTGGTGTTTTTAGTAGAGACAGAATTTCACCATTTGGCCAGGCTGGTCTCGAATTACTGACCTCAAGTAATCCACCTGCCTCAGCCTCCCAAAGTGCTGGGATTACAGGTGTGAGCCACTGCGCCCAGCCTCAACAAATATTTTTGGGGCCTGGCATTGGCAAGGGGCAGAGAGGAATCAGGAGAGCTTCTGATCCTGCAACAATGGAGCTGCTATTTGTCACCCTTATCATAAGTCAAGCACTAGTCTAAGTGCAGCATGTGGTGGCTTCATCCATTACATTTGATATTACTCACTGTCCCCGTCACCTTCCGGGTCCATCACTTTGCCCTCATCTCCACCTCTTTCCTGTCATCACTCGCACCAGCCTCCTTACTGTTTTTTTTTTTTTTTTTTTTAGGGGGGGAGTCTTGCTCTGTTGCCCAGACTAGAGTGCAGTGGCGCAGTCTCAGCTCACTGCAACCTCCGCCTCTCAGGTTCAAGCAATTCTCTTGCCTCAGCCTCCTAGGTAGCTGGGATTAGAGGTGCCTGCCACTGCGCCCAGCTAATTTTTGTATTTTTAGTAGTGATGGGGTTTCACCGTGCATGTTCCTACTGCAGGGCCTTTGCATGCGCTCATTCCTGTGCTTTGAACACTCTCCCCCAGATATCCACATGGATCCCTTACCTCCTCTGGCTCCCTGCTCAAATGGCACCGCCCAGACGCTCATCTTCCTCACCCAGGCTGTCCTCCAAATTCATCCTGTTTATCTGCTCTCTTCTGTAATACTACCACCACCATCAGACATTGCTTATCTGTTTTCCATGTGTCTCCTCACTTAGATTTCCTCAATGGTAAGGGCTTTTTGTCTGCTGTGTGCCTTGCTATGTCCCCAGCTTTCAGAGCACACTGTTACACTGTGTGTAATAACTCTATAAATTGAAGAGCCGGGCACAGTAGCTCATGCCTGTAATTCCAGCGCTTTGGGAGGTTCAGGCAGAAGGATCACTTGAAGCTAGGAGGTCAAGATCAGCCTGGACAACATAGCAAAATCCCATCTCTTAAAAAAAGAAAGCAATAGGGCCGGGCACAGTGGTTCACACCTGTTATCCGAGCACTTTGGGAGGCCGATATGGGCTAATCACCTGAGG